AGGAGGCCGGGGACAGCGAGGAGGAGGAGGAGGAAGTGCTGGGGCTGCAGCTGTCCGAGGAAGACAGCGAGGAGGAAGAGGAGGATGGACACGGTGAGGAAGAAGAGGAGGACGAGGAGGTGGAGGGGCTGGATCTTTACGTGGAACACAGCGCAGAGGAGGATGATGGAGAAGGTGAGGAGGAGGAGGATGGGGAGGAGGAGGAGGTTGAAGATGAAGGTGGGGACCTGTCCATGGAAAGCGACTTGGAGGAGCGCCATCGGGACTCCAAGCCCCCCCACGAGCTCTCCTGGGGCCAACGCAAGCAGCTTTACTACGACACGGACTATGGGAGCGATGCCCAGGCCAAGGGCAAGCGTAGCCAGCAAGAAGTCGATGCTGAGGAGGAGGAAGAGGAGCAGGAGGCTCAAGTCATCCAGAGGCGATTGGTGCAGGACTTGGGGGAAGATGATTACGGGCTGGATGTGATCCAGGGCTATCTGGCTGAGCGTCGGAAAACCCATGATAGCAAGGGGCAGAAGATTGACAAAGACTTGCAGGCCCTTTCCAAGAAGGAGCAGCTGAAGTTACTGAAGCAGGAGTCCCCTGAGCTCCTGCAGCTGATGGAGGACTTTGAAGTCAAGCTAATGGAGCTCAAGGACGAACTGCACCCGCTGCTGCAAATGGTCAAAAACGGCACTATCCCGCAGGGGAAAGGCAGTCGCTATTTGCAGACCAAGTATCATCTCTACTTGAATTACTGTGCCAACATCAGCTTCTATTTGGTTTTGAAGTCTAAGAGGATGCCAGTTCATAGTCACCCTGTTATCGAACGGCTGGTTGCTTATAGAAATATAATCAATGACCTAGCTGTTATAGATCAAAAGTTATCCTCACAAGTTCGTATGCTTTTGAAAAACTACTACGATAAGAAGGAAGATAAATTACAGAAGGAGAAGAGGTTTGCGGTGTTTCTCCCTCTGGATGTTAAGAAAACTAAACCAAAGCATACACCTGCGCTTGCTAATGGCCGGGCTACTGCTGCTGAACTGTCAGATGAGTCGGACCTGGATGAAGAGGCTGCCCTAAAATACTATAAGATGATGGAGGAGAAGTTGAAACTCAAGAGGAAGAGAACTGAAGACCAAGACATGCTTGAAGAAGAAGTGTTGTCGGAAGGAGAGGATCCAAATAAAAAGAGAGGTGTGACGTATCAGATGATCAAGAACAAAGGCCTTACGCCCAGAAGGAAGAAGATCGATCGCAACCCCAGGGTCAAGCACCGGGAGAAGTTTCGGCGAGCCAAGATTCGCCGCAAGGGCCAGGTCCGTGAAGTTCGGAGGGAATTGCACAGATATGCTGGGGAACTGTCTGGCATTCGTGCGGGAATTAAGAAAAGCAGGAAGCTTCAGTGATACTTATTTTTCTCTGTTTGGGAGAGCTGCGAGTAGCAGTACTGAATCCAATAAAAATTTTATAAAAGATACTGTGGTTTTTTTATCCTTAAGAAAACTGGCCATGAGGGGTGGTATTTTTTTTTTTTTCCGAGGGTGCTTTTCAGAAGGTGCCGCCTCTAAAATAAGCACAGGGCCTTTTCCTCACCTGGCCTGTGTGTTAAGGTATTTTTTTCTATTGCGGTGCTGTCGTCTTTCTGTACTCTAGGTGCTGGCGATGGGATGGGATGGGATGGGATGGGGAGACCTCCTGAGGGCGGGTTTCGGATCGTATTGGTGCAGCTGTCACTGCCTTCTGCTTTTTACTCTCTTGTTCCGGTCCATCCTTTTCCTGCGTTGAGCTGCAGAGTGAGATGTGTGTGGCTATGGTGTTTTCTCTAATTCTTGTTCTCGTTAACTCTTTGTGCTCATATGTTTAAGAACTAGCTACTCTTAGGCTTGCTTAAATTTTTTAATTGTGTAAGTGAGCAGACAGTTACTACTTAAATCCCATGTGGCCTGAGGTACTATGTCCATTCCTTCTGAATTTAGTGAGAAGAACAGCAAGGATTTCTCAGTTATTTATACCTGTGATAAATACATTCACGTCATCTACCATAAATCTGTTAACTGTTGTCTGCCGTTACAGGTCTAATGTAGCATTGATACAGGACAAACTGCTAGGTAACATTGCGTTCAGTTTGAAGGTAAACCCAAAATGTTGTGATAACTTCCCTGCTTTCTGGTGGCAAAACACGTTCAACGCCACGCTAAAGTTCTTGCTGGGAGCTGACTGGGAGCGGCCAGTTCCAGTTCAGGCTGTAAAGGAGGAATGACCCATTAATTTTTCTTAGAAATTTAACAAACATGGCCTTGGGTAAGACCTGCACTTGGGCCTGGGACAGGTTTCAGGGAGCCCATGCCTTGATTTGCCTACCAGTAGCATCTGAAAGGTGCTGCTGCCTGCTTCCCATGTGAAATCACTTAAGGGGAACAATTGTCTTGTCAATAAATGTGATTTCAGGTTATGGAAGTGCTAGTGTAAAACTAGGTGTTTGTTTTGGTAGTTTTTTTGTGTGTGTGGTAGTCTTGGGGGAAGCCAAAATACAAGTGTGTGTTCTCAAACCTGTGACAGCCTAGATGTTTTAATTCCAACACACAGGCGCTCTGCTCATTTTCTGCAAGTGAAATGTGCTTCCATAAGCTTTGATGTAAACCTTTACAGCCTAGGCCTGTTTCTGCCAGGAACATGCTGTTAATTGCTGACTAGAGAATATTTTTTTTCGTTTTCAAAGCTGATTTGTTGTTAAAGGGAGAGGTAGAAAAACAGTAAGTTGATGCTGGACAGATAGCAGCAGAAGTAGATATACTTTTTGTAATCATTATATGTCCCGGATTGATGGGATGTGGAGCTATGCATGGAGATTTCAGAGGGGATTCTGGTATGGTAGATAGATGTATAGGAGAAAATAGTGAAATGGTAAGTTCTGCTGCCTTTAATGGCCTTGCATTTGTGTGCCCCCTGCTGCCCACAGGCCAAACAGCAGTTAAAAGGCTGCATAATAAAAAAAAAAAATAAAATTGTTCCACAGAAACAGGCTACAAAGCATTGGGCACTGATCCCTTCCATGAAATTACTTGGGAGATCTTTGCCTGCTTGCAGAGCGGTGGCATTTTGTGCGGCGAGAGGTAATGGGAACTAATGCAAGGGCCGGAGGAGGGTTGATGGCAGCCGGGAAGAAAAACCTGGTGTTTCAGGTCAGCGCTGGGACTTGCTGCCTGTGTTGGTAGCAGGTGTCTGTGTGGAAGAGGAGAGGTCACAGGGAAGTGCAGGCGTGAGGAATAATTCGGCATGTCGTGAACTGGCTGGGGGTGAGCCTGTATGTGTGCTTTTCATGATCAAAAGACCTTTCTGGGACATGGAAATGAATGCAGTCCTTTGCATGTAGCACAAAGGGAGCTAGGGCTCTTTTATGAGCTGAAAAGCCAGAGAGCATTTGAAACACGAGGTTTCTTAGCATAGCAACAACTGTTTTAAGACAATAAATGGCAGTCTGGAGCCCTGCTTTTCCGGGGAAGCTGGGGCTAGCTCGGCTCCTTGGGCCGAGGCGCGTGCCGAACCCTGGGCCGCATTCTGCCGGAGGGTCACGAGGCAAAAGGGAGGCTTTCTTGAAGTGGTCGCTGCACATGTCTACTTGTTTGAGCAATGCCCTCTGTAACCTGATGGCCTCGGGTGAGATGTGTAACCTGTTACCTGGTGGGATCAAGATGCCCTTTACCTATGTTTACTCATCCTTCCTTACTGTGAGCAGCAACCAACAGTGTCAGCCGCTTCCTCTTCCCAGTGAGGAATGCATGGCTTTTGGTGGATCCCAGCCTTACTAAGGAGGGAAATAGAGCTTTTCCTGAAACTACACCTTTTATTAACTCTGTGCTGGGATCACGATGGACGCTGCCGCTGAGAAGGCTGAGCCACGCTCCTGAGGCTTTGCAAAAAGGTCGGTAAAAGGTAACGTGTTGGGAAAAAAGGCAGCTTAGGCGGTTTTTCTGGGGAGGAATGGTATTGTGTAACAGGCATCACATGGAGTGCAGAAAATATCCAGCAGAGATGCTAACTGATCTCATTACTACAGCACCTGCTCACTTCCTGCAAAAATGATGGGCTGACAATCTTGCGTAGATCTGCCGGCAAGCCGTAAGTATCCAAGGTGGCTTTGTGTTCCTTTGAAAAGCTTTAGGCAGCTGGCAAGCAAAATTCTCGCAACTTCCATGTGAGCAATAAATAAGGGAAATAATAACTAACTGCACTGTTACAGACACGCTCCCCAGAAACATTGGGGTGAGGGCTGAAGGCAAGAGGGAACGCAGCGTATCGGCACGCCCAGTGCAGGCAGCCAGCAGATGGCACAGCATGTCGCGCCTAACCGCTGCGCCAGCCTGTTTTAATGAAGATTAAACACGGCATTATTTTCAGTTGGTTAGTTCAGAGATTGGACAAAGCATAAATAGTTCTTTCCCATATGGTTTTATGTGTAAGTGATCATAGGAAGGCCGTGATTATTAATGCCATGGGAGGGGGGACACTAATGTTGCTCTAAGAAATACTTCTTTGAGGCATGTTTCTTGCTGAAGGGAAATCCCTGATGGTAAATAGGTTTTTAAGATCCCTATGAAAACAGACACATGTGAAATAGGGGAAGGACTGCAGATGGTGGTCAGGAAAATAAGCAAGAATGGATGAAGCTCACGGTTAATGCTGTCTGTTTGTTTGTTTGTTTTTTCCTTCTTCCAGCAGTGTTTCTGCAGAAGGCGCAGACGCTGCCAAATGATGTGCTTCAACCATGGGATGGCACTCGTCCTCCCCCGGCTCCTGCTTCGCAAGCACTGGCTGCCCTGCTCTGAAGGGACTGGTGGTGGGCTCTGCCTCAGCAGCACCTAAGGCAGTCTAGGACTTAGGCTCTCGGGCAACAGCCATGTCCCACCTGAATCGCCCTGCATGGCCGTGGAGGTACCTGCCTCTGTGTCCTTCCCACCCGCTCGCTCCGAGCACAGTAAATCAGGAGGTAGTCCCGTGCGCACTTGCACGTAAATAATTTCTATTTCAAAAGCATGTAGGCAGTGTATAGAAGGTCCTAAGGAGGTATGAGGTGCTCCGTTTTCTTTCTACACCTGTAAGACATAATCCTTGGGGGGTGATGAGTGTCCAGAGGAAGCCTGGCTTGCCTTTGGGAGTTTGGGCAGAAAACATGCAGTGGCAGAGAGGTGAACAATGCTTTTTGCATCATGACCCGAAATGTCTATTTATACAGGGTAAGAAAAATCTATCAAATAACTCATGTGGAAATACATCTGCTGCTGCCACCTTAAAATTTTACCAGGGTTTTCCTAGTTGTCTTCCGCAATATTCTATCAGCAACAGTCTGGACATTGTTTTACTCTGGCTAGCACTGGCAAATACAAGTCTCAATGCTGAACGTTTGTATTTCTAACACGGATTAAAACATCTGTTAAATTAGTTGCAACGTGGGGCAGCTCTGGAAGAAGCAGTCTCCAGAAATAAGTTGCCTTTACAGCTGTGCTTTTGCAATTTTTATGTGAGTTTTAAAAAGGAAGCAGCACCGTGTTTTGGCTCAACCTAAGTGCACTGAATGCAGGGTAGTCTTTAAAAACTGGCAGATTTATGTTCTTGCTGCCTGTTGTCAACATGACGGTGGACATAAATTGCCCTGCCTTAACAAGAAGTCTTTATTACTGCCTTCTGAAAAACAGTCTCCTAAGTGAAATTACCGTTGGTATGGCCTATTTGGTAGTTTTCATAGTAAGGAATATTTTTGGACCTTGTATTGTCACTTCTTGTCAAAGGATCTGCCAGCGCTGCTGTGCATGAGATGTCAACCTTGGGAAGGCGAGGGGGATGCAGGAGCTGGTGTAATGCCTTTGCTTCACAGCGCAGTAGAAGCACGTGGGAGTTCGACTTGCTCGTTGCTCTATGAAGGTGGTTTCTGAAGACAAAAATCCTTGTTTCCTCACGTGGGCACTGGTCCTACGAAGGCGACTCTGTGCACCCAGGGCTGCTGCCGTCCTTCGGCCTTGGGGCAGGAACAGACCGTGGAATACGCGGTGGTGACAGGGTCTTATGTGGAACTGCTTCCCCTAGCCTGCAGTCTGGCCGGTGATGGTAGCACGGCTGGGAAGCTGGTGCTAGAAGAGGCGGTGGGCTTGTCTTTTAGTCTAGGAAACAAGAAAGTGTGAGAAAGAGGAATTAGCAGTGAAGGGGGGAGGGGAGTGTTAAGGGTATGAGGCTGGGGGAGAAGAAAAAAAACCTAATCCTCTTCGAAGAGGGATGGAACCAACGTCCTGTGGGGAGCGCGCAGAGGCCCTGCGCCTACATGCGTGGGGTGACACGGTTTTTTTTTCAGGCTTCCCGGCATCCAGCCTTAAGGCAACCTGCGCAGGGCGGCGCCCTCCTGCCC